CTGGCCTAATCCTTTTTCAACTTTTTTCTTCTTATTACCTCAAAAAATCTATTTTTATTAAGAGACTTGGTTGACATTTGAGTTACGAGGTGGTTTATTACTAGAAACAATCACCTAAAGTTGAAAATTTTCATTATTCGGTCGGCCATACAGATCCGGAGACCGAAACCCGCTCAATTCTTTTGCTTCCCAATATTTGAATCCTGGAGGATCCGGAGATCGAATCCGATATCCGAAATCAGTTGGATCCATTAATTTCCGCTTACCGTAAATCGATTGATCCTGTGGTGCGTACTTCTTTATTTGTTTTTCTTTATTTTCTGTGCGCATGATATATTCACCGTTTTGTTTCGCGAGAGCAGTACTTTAAATATGATATTGCAGAAAATTAAAACCAAGAAAATTTTCTTCTCAGATTCTTAACACAGTGAGTGATCGCTCACACTTATATTACATACATTATAAAGAGATCGCCCCTATTTACGATCATGGCCACTAGTACAGACAGCACTCAGAACCAAACAGAACTTGATTACATGAAAGATTCATATTTATTTGATTCACAAGCTGTTGTTAGGCAATGTGAAACAGTTGATGGTGGTAAATTTCAGATTACTCTTGATCGTACGATTTTTCATCCTCAAGGTGGTGGTCAACCATATGATGTTGGTACAATTAGTAATGATGATGCTGTTTTCAATGTAAATGAAGTGCGTATGAATCCTCAGGGGATCGTCATCCATACAGGTGAATATGAACATGGCACTTTAGCTCCTGGACAAACGGTCAATTTACATGTGGATGAAGCGCGTCGACGTCTCAATTGTCGATTACATTCAGCTGGTCATCTTCTTGATGTTGCTGTACGAAATGCAGAATTATCATTAGTTCCAGGAAAAGGTTATCATTTTATTGATGCACCATATGTAGAATATGACGGTAAAATTGAACCAGCTCTACGTGAATCATCCTTAAATCGTATACAAATAGAATTGAAAAAGTTGCTTACTATTCCATTTCCTGTCAAAGTCATTTTTGAAAATACTGACAATGGTGATCCAATTACTTATTCAGTAAAACGACAGGTTAGTATAGCTGATGGTTATACATGTCCATGTGGTGGTACACACGTTCACAATATTCGTGATATTGGAAATGTTGAAGTTACAAAACTTCGTGTTCAAGGACCCAAAACGAGAATTAGTTATAAACTTGAAACTAATTGATTTTATTATATAAACAAAATAGAAATCTCAAACTGAAAAGCATTTTATTCATGAACTAACCAATACACTCGATTATTGTTTGATTTTTTAATGCTATTATTCCTTTTTGCGATATTTTCGATTTATGCACGTACAAATGTGTTATGAGTTGAGTCGTAATTTTTACAGAAAAGCTGGATGTTATCTTGTTTTTTCTTATTGTATTGCATCGCTGGAAGGTTTTTCATGATTGAATATGGTCGTTTTGAAAGTATACTTTAGTCTTGAATCTTGCTTGAATTGATTTCGAAGCGACATGTAGAGATGGATAAATAAAAATAAAACTGGAATAAAAAAAAAAAAAACACGCTCACACTACTCAACAGACGTGTTGTACACGCCATAGCTAGTGAGCCCTTACACTCTCGCGAATGCGCAGAGACAGGAGTCACTGAAAAATGAACGGAAAAGAATAGGAAATAAAAAATCTAAGGCTATTTTTAGCCTTCATACAACTGAAAACCGGTCATATTCTGCCAGATCTAGCGAAATCCGATGTTTGAAACTCGAAGGATCTGGTCTTAACCAACATCTTTCGGCACAAAATCCGGGCGTCAGGATTCCGACATAATACGGCACGGTTCAGATAGGACTGTGCCAGATTTTGTCGGATTTCAGCATGTTCTTACGTCAGATTCGATCGGATCTTCTAGAAACTTGCCTTCGGAATCATCGGTCTGGGTTCAAGAGCCTTTTTTAGATTTTCTTTCAAATATGTTAAACCAGCCTGTAAGGGGATAAATGAGGCGACTTTTTAAGTAGATTCTTCCAGTAGGATTTCTGTAAGAGATTGTTTTTCTTCTAATTTTTAACTTCAACTAAATCAAATAAATAATCTGCTATTTTCGTTATCTGAGCTAATTCATTTTGTTAGGAAAGAAAAACCAAGGTGGATAATACCAACAATCTGGATAAGTTTCGTTATATATTGTATCATGCATAACATCTCCATTTGCAAGAAATGCTGTCCACCATGGAAAAGTTCCCCCTGTAACAATGAAATGCTGATATAACGATAGTACAATAAGGTCTTCGGCAGGAGAAAATGATGATGGAGTTATTAAGACATCCGTTCTATGTCGAAATAAATTTTGGCAAGACCTTTTTTCAGCGCTTACCACAATACATAGTGTTAGAATATCTTTTACTGTAATAGGCCATCGAATCAAAAATATATTTGTCTGAAGAAACGAATTTCTTTTTTATGAAATCACCTCGTCGGATATGAATGCCAATCCATGTAAAGTTGGTTCTCCTTAAAATAATCTGTAAATTCTGTCGGAATACCTGCTTGAGAATTGTTACGTTAGTTTCCAAGCGTATTAGCCATTGTTTAATTTGTTCTGACAGTTTTTCAATAACGTATTTATTACCACCGAACTGTTCTCGTATATCATCTCTATACTTTATAAAATACTCATAAACTTGTCAGTATCCAACTAATTCTAAATATTTCACTGCGCTGAGTTGCATTAATTCTGGAAAAAACGTTTAAAGTTTCTTTCTTCTCTATACATTCTGCATTTAAAACTAAGGGCTCGATACCAGGCAAATTATGCATGTGCTTGATTTGAAAATACTAATTTAGGTCATGGATAATATGCTTTTCAATAAATAGTTGGCATTGATGTAATCTAGAAAGACCGTAGGCACTAGCATACATAAATAAGCGATTACCCAATCACATTCTGTTGGCACAAACGAAGTTTGATTAAACAAAGTACAATTAGTTTGACTGTCCTGTCTGAAGCTTGACAAAATAGAGAGAGGCTATTTATTTATTTATTATTTAAGAGGCTTCGAAAAGATTCGAGACTTGCGCCGACCGAGATAGCATGGTCGTCGGAACTTTTCTAGCTCCGCAACCTTGAAAGCTGCAGATCTGAGACACGTTTAGAACTGAAGATCTCGGTCTGGTGAATCTACCTAACGTATCAGAACTCAAAATCCGGAACTTTTTCAGTGATGAGTAACTTTCTGCAAAATGTCTTGAAGAGGCTTATCGTTAGTATTTTTGCTAGTGTTGTTCCGTAGGCATATAGCCCGATCAATTTACTTTCCAATACTGGAAGCTGCAGCTTTCTAGCTCTTTGCTATCAAAAGTTATTAGACAAACAATAGACTACCTTATATTTTGAAATGGATAGTGCTGTCTGTAAAATAAAATAACAGGGATAATCATTTTCGAATAACACGCAAACTAAAAGAGCTAGCTACCTCTGGCGTTCGCTATACGAAAGAAGAGAATTTCCAGAAGAGCTTTCATATTATACATGTTTCAAAATTTTTCGTTGATTTTCATTTTTTGATGAAAACCTTAGTAATTATTAGACGTGAAAATTCAAAAAAATCAAACTGATCGAATAGGAGAAAAAAGTGCATCATTCGACTCGATTTCAAACAGGCAGAAGCAGTAAGGAAAGATACTCTGTTCTGCCTTCTATTACAATCGGATTTCTTTTTTCCGTATATTCCGTGAGATTCGGAGGTTTTCCTATCTTAGCTTCCGCCGAGCCGGTTCTAATAAAATTATACCAATCGACAGCATTTTCTACGTTGATCACGAATTTCACATTCACGTGTGGCTAGAACGTCGCAGTAGTGCACTGGAGAAGCTGCACGCATTTTGGGGAATAATAAAAGATTTAAATTATAACTAACAAAACATTGTGCGCCTATCTTTTCTTAAATAGCATACTGTCACTCATCGAATAGTATATAGTTCATTAAAAGAATATTCCACAGTCACTTCAAAATGGAAGAAATATAATTAGCATGCTATTAGTACAAAAGTCAACTTTCTAATCACCCGAAGGGGTTCCTACATGAGTTTATAGAAAAAGTAAGAGATAGGTATAGTTGCTAAGAACCTGTTCTTCCGTTTTATCAAAAAAAAATTAAAAACTTATAGTGAGCCAGTTTTCGTAACAAATCGGTACCCGTCCTTTAGATATTTACATCTTACAGTTTCGGGAAAGTGGGATAAGAACCGAGAGGTTTTGACCCATAGACGTTTTCTCGCGGTTATTCATGTTCTTCCTATCGAATACACTCTATCATATTAAGTCCAACCTTTATTAGAATGTACTTATAAGTACATTGTTTTATTTTTTCTTCTTTTTGCGTAGAAGTAATCAAGTAGACAGATATTTTGATTTTTCATGACACTTCTTGCAGCCAACGAACTATGAAAATATCAGGTGGGGAACGTGAGAGTGAGTTATGTAATACTATATCAGGCTTTCCAAAAACCAAGAGCATGCACATATATGATGGAGATGTAGTCCCCATCTAGTCGAAGTGTTTGTCGTAATCGTCATACTTCAATTTCACTAGTGCGTCCAACGAGTTACTACTAGACAGTATGCATCCCTTATAGTGTTTGTGCACTAGCTTTGGTGAAGAGTCGTAGCAAGATGATAGAGTGCTTTGGAAAAGGAAACACGTTTATAGATTTCTGCAACTGAGATCGTGGATGAAGCATTTCTGTCGGCGTACGATCGCGAAGACCGACCGAAGGGAAACCTTTACTCCTCTTTTTATCCTTGTTCAGTTCGCTGAAAAACGTTCCTTCAGTCGAGCAGCGAGTAGGTATGTATCGCCCGTTTATAGCGCGTTTTCCACTCTACAAAATCCGTTATAAACAATATCTCTACTATACTTCCTTCCTGAATTAAAAAGTTTTTGTCATTTCATGTTAGTAAATGGTCAAACTTTTCAAAAAATTAATTTTTGGTGAAACGATTATAGTTTCAAACCAAAACTTATATATGGTTAGATGCGCAATAAAATTCTCTACTGAACCTGCTAAATCCGGCAGGATCCTTTTTGCGGATTTTGAACAATGTATCGAAAATTTTCTAGCAATCTTTCTAAATCATGTGTCACCTATGCTAAAGTTTGTTGCTTTGTCATTAGTTTTGTTTCAAAACTGTTCTTTTCCAATTTCAATTAATCTACATTATTTTTACTTCGTAAATCATTCTGTTTTTAAACATCATAATAGACAGTCGACACATGCAATTTTTGTTGAATTTGTTTTGACTGTTCTTCGATAGATATTTGACGTTTCAATTCATTTATATATTGAACAGCTTTAGGTTATTTTTCCTCGATGTCATATAGATCATTTTTTTTTCTGTTTTGCGTAGCTCGCATTCGTTTATTGTTTTAACAACAGTTTCAACGTGTAATTCTAACGATGCTAATTCTGAACATTTTTATTTAATTAATTGACCTCGTTCATTCAACTGTATGTCACGCAATGACTTTTCACTCGTCAACTGACTAACTTGGTTTAATAATTGTAGCGATTCTTGTTTATCACTCTCTTTTATATGAAACGTTTTCGTTCGTAAACTAGGCGACACCATTTCCATTGTAAGCTCCGTATCTAAAAACTAGTACAAGACGTTTCGATGACATAAAAAAAAAGCTTTGGGAATAAGGGATGTACTAATTCGTACTAATTTATACTACAAAAAATACGATTAAGCACATAAAATTGAATATATGTTGATATTCTGAAGCAGTTTGAGATAATTTTGACTGAGTTATAAATTTTTGAATTTTTCCAGAAAGCCGTTTCCAGAAGCCGGCTGAGACGACACAAAGTTTTTCCACAATAATTTATAGATAAAGGCCTACAAGGCCTATATGGTTGTCTGACTTCTACGTCTAAGACTGTTCTAAGAAAAAAGTGTCCCGTAAAACTGCAGCGCTCAAAAACCGGCTTTCTGAAATCTCATTATGAAGTATGGAGGCCGGAAAACTGATAATACCATTAGATTCAGCATGATCGAAAACCTCTGAGACGCGGTTCCCCTGAACCTAGGTTCAATATTAGAGAAGATAGTAAAAGTAAAAAATCGTCTCTTTTGGATACCACTTTTTAACCGTATTCTGTAACGTTTCAACTTTATCTAATGCATGTTTGTAATATTCTCCAGTTAAATTATTAG